CCTTCCCAGCTTGCCCCATACCTCAGTTTTACAGGCTCTGAATACAGAGCCTGGCCACTGTTCCTTAGCTGCTGCTGCTCTACCACTTGAGCCACAGCTCCACTTCTAGTTTTTTTGGTGGTTAATTGGAGATAAGAGTATCATGGTCTTTTCTGCCTGGCCTGGCTTGGAACACTCAGCCTCCTGAGTAGCAAGAATTACAGGCTGGGGCTGGGAAGGTGGCTCAGTGGTAGAGCGCTTGCCTTGCATGCATGAGGCCCCCCTGGGTTCGATTCCTTAGCACCACATAAGCAGAAAAAGCTGGAAGTGGCACTATGGCTCAAGTGGTAGAGCGCTAGCCTTGATCTGAAGAGCTGAGGGAAAGTGTCCAGTCCCCGAGTTCAGGCCCACAACTGACAAAAAAATTTTTAAAAATTAAAAAAAAAATAAATTACAGGCTGAGCTACCAGCATCCAGCCCTTTTGGATCTTTTTAACTTCCTAGTGCTTGGATGGAGCTTTGCTCTGCCAAGCCCCTGCCTGGAATGCACTTCTCAGTGTCAAATTTCACCTCTTTCCCCCCCCCCTCCCCCGAGGCCACACCTAGCACACCTGCCACCCCTGCAGACCCTCAGCTCCCGGCGCGCTCCCCACATCCCTTGGTCTGAAACTCTCAAGAACACAGGGCAGCCCACACCTCGCTCATGCTGTACAAGTTGGTTTACACCTGAAGGCTCCTCTCGGAAGAACCCATGGATTGTGGGCTCCTGTCCCTCCACTTTTGGCAGTCTGACTTTAGTGTCTCTGGTTGCTTCGAGGGAGGTGGGTGTGGCCAGGTGAGGCCCTGGGCTTTGGAGAGGTGCGCTGGGCTGGCTGCAGGCGCCTCTTCACTGTCGTTACCACTAGTGGCTGCTGTCGCTCAGTGAAGCCTGAGGAAGACGGCGGCCAGAGCGTCCACCGCCCAAGATGGTGGTTCTCGAGTCTCTGTGAGTGTGTGCAGGGGGGATGGTGTCAGGATACCTGGGTAGATATCCCTCCCAGAGCTTCTGGGCAAGGGTGGACCACCTGGAGTGATGTCCTGCAGGGGGGAAGGGGTAAGCAGGCAGAGACTCAGGAAATTCCCCCACCCTCTCTGTCCAAGTTCCCTGGAAGGATGGGTGAGGGGTACAGGTGGTCCCCATCTCACCTGGTCCCCACTTTGTAGAGAGGATGGACTTCTCTTAGTGGGGTCTCAAGGAAAGGGGACCCATGGGAGACTGGAGACCCTGATCCTGGGAGTCCATCAACACCAGGTTTTGAATCCAGCCTGGTTCAGTCCCTCAAGTTGTGATAGGATAAGGTCAGTGGATTGTTGCTGTGTTTTTAGAGCAGCTCTGCCCAATAGAACTTTCTGGGATGATGCAAATGTTCTCTACCTGTGCAGTCCAGCAATTAACCAGCCACATGTGGCTACTGAGTATACCTGCATGACAGCTAGTGTCAGCTGAATTTTTAAATTGCATTAATGCATGTGTATCTGTGTGTGTATGTTTGTGTTCGTGTTCGTGGGTGTGTGTACGAGTGAGTGCGCACATGTGCATGCATGTGTTCGTACACCTGTATTGGGGCTTGAACTCAGGGGCCTCACTCTCTTGCTTAGCTTATCTGCTCAAGGCTGGCATTCTACCACTTGAGTCACAGCTCTGCTTCTGGTTGTTTTTGCTGGTTCTTTGGGAATAAGAGTCTCACTGACTTTCCTACCTAGTCAGGCTTCAAACCACAATTCTCAGGAAAAGGAAACAAGAGGTATTTTTTTTTCTTTGTTGTTTTTGTCTTGTTTGTTCATTTATCTGCCTGTGGGAAGGTAAGGAAGGGCACACAGATGGAGGGACAAAGGGTAAACAAATACAGAAGTGGTGTTCACTAGACACTGAGTTGAAAATTGACTATACAACAGTGGTTGGGGACAGGAGGGAAAAACAGAGACAGTGAGGGAAGGGGTAACATTGTCCAAAATGAAACATGCTCTTTACCTCATTTATGTAATTATAACACCTCTGGCATCAGCTTTATACTAACAATTTTAAAAAATGAAACAAACCCATAATCCTTAGATCTCAGCCTCCAGAAGTAGCTAAGATTACAGGCATGAGCCACCAGTGTTTAGCCAGTGCCCAAGAACTTCTTCCTAGGGGAGAGCTTGCTCTGCTTTTTCACTCTGCAGATTTTGTGGTGCACCTGCTGGATGTCAGGCACTATAGCTGTCTTTGGGATGCAGATATGAAGAAGCTCTGGAGTTTAGACAAGAAGCAGTTACCATTCCTGTTCTTGGGGAACTTGCATGAGAGAAGATGGGCAGAGGGAAGGACAGGCTCTGAAGCAAGAGAACTAGCAGAAATAAGAGGAGATTTGGAGATTTGAATGAAGGACCCAAACAGGCAGTAAGGGGAAAGAATGGGGCTTCTTGTGCCAATACACAGAGAATCCCTGTACACACACTGTAGAAAAATCCTTGAGATCAGAGGACTAGTGCCAGCCCAGCGGGGCAAAAGGGTCAGGGTAGCAGAGGAGAGGCCTGAGCTATGGTCAGAAGCAAGTGGAAACTAGTTGGGGAAAAGGCCAGGTATGGAAGATGAAAATAGGAATAAATAGTTTAGCTGGGCACTGGTGGCTTAAACCTGTAATCCTAGCTATTCAAGAGGCTGAGATTTGAGGATTTCAGTTCAAAGCCAGCCTAGGCAGGAATGTCCATGAGAGTTTTATCTCTAATAAACTACTGAAGAAAAAGAAAGAAAGAAAAAAAGCTGTGGCTCAAGTAATAGAGCACTAGTGTTGAGCAAAAGAAGCTCAGGGATAGTGCCTAGGCCCTGAGTTCAAGCCCCTGGAGCAACACACACATATACACACACCAAGTTACAGCCTGGTCTATGTAGGAGGGAATGGTCCCTTTGAAGCTGGCTAGCCAGATGGAAGTACTGAGATGTTCTAGAAGTATCCAGAAGCTAAGGAGGTCTTGATGGTTCTTGAAGAGGTAGAGGAGCCACTGAAGAGATGGCTGAGAGAGGATGACCTAGGTGAATCTGAGTGTGAATTTTCTCTGACTGCTGGGTGAGGAGCTATGGTGGGGGAAATGATCGCTCAGAGGCTGCTTCAGAGACCTGCACAAGACAGTGAGGGTGTGAACTCTACCCAAGCTAGGGAGCTAGGGTAGAGTCTGTGCAGTCCAGGATCTCAGGCCTTTGTGATCTGAAAGATGTTAGTTCCAATTTTTTTAACTGTATTTTTTTGTCTTTTCTTCTTTGGTACTGGGGAATCGAACCCAGGACATTGCACTTGCTAGGCAAGCGCTATGCCACTGAGCTACATCCCAGCCCTGTTAGTTCCAATTCTGCATCAGCTTCTTACTGCTTTATAAAGCCACTGCCAAGCTACTCAGTCAGGGAAACTAAGAGAGAATAATCTTCATCTTTTTAGGGAAGTGCTGTAAAGTACTTAATCCAGAGCCTAGGTCATTCATAGTCACTGGGTAAGTAGTAGTTACGGCTCCTGCCATTAGGTTTGAGATTAAGAGGGAGACCGTATGTTTGGCTGATGGCTGGACATGGCCTTTATGAGTTTGGCTGATGGCTGGACATGGCCTTTATATCCTGAGCTTCTCATCTTAAGTCATGCCTGGTGGGGAGGTAGAGGCAAAATGAGCGTCGTTGTCCTCAGTCTGGAACCAGTCTTTGGAGCAGCCCTTAGAGCTGGGTTAGTCACCAGTATGTGTGAGTGTGAGGAGTGTACACCTGTGTAAGTGCAGTTTGTGAGTGCCAGAAAAACCTCTGGGGCTCTTCTATCTCCTGACTGGGACAGTTCAGCCTTCTGCTGACTTCCTTCCCATGTCATCAGTGGCTGTGGCCTATGAAGACCCTTTACCCTTTAGGCCAGGAGTTGGGAGGTCAGCACTGTAATCCCAGCTCAGACACCAATTACTTAGAGCCCTAATCTTTACCCTCTGCCTCTCAACTCTAGTTCCCTTAAAAATTTCTCATGGGAGCAGGATGCCAGTGGCTCAGGCCTATAATCCTAGCTACTCAGGAGGCTGAAATCTGAGGATCACGGTTCAAAGCCAGCCAGCAGGAAAAGTCTGTGGGATACTTATCTCCAATAAACCACTCAGATTGATTGATTCCATACTACTACATAAACAGAAAAAAACAGAAGTAGCACTGTAGCTCAAGTGGTCGAGTGTTAGCTTTGAGTAAGAGAAACTCAGGGACAGTGCCCAGGCCCTGAGTTCAAGCCCCAGGACTGGCAAAAAACAAAAACTTCTCATAAGCCAGAGGCCAGTGGCTCTTGCCTTTAATCCTAAGCTACTCAGGAAGCTGAGATCTGAAGATCAAGGTTTGAAACCAGTCAGGCAGGCAAACCTGTGAGACTATCTCCTATTAACCACTAAAAAGTCAGAAGTGGAGGTGTGGCTGAAGTGGTAGAATACCAGTCTTGAGTGAAAAAGCTAAAGGATGGTGCCCAGGCTCTGAGTTCAAGTCCAAGTACTGGTACCATGTTCCCCCCAATACCTAGTGCACTGATGGTGGCAGTCTTTCTAGCTCTGAGTTGAGAAATGCTGCAGCTGGCCAAACTAATCAATCTCTAGTCCTGGATGGAAGGAGCTCCTTGAAGGGGGCTGGGAACCCCACAACTCTCCATCTTTGGCCCTTTTCGTGATTTTGCATACTCCCAGAAGCCCTTGGTCCACTGAGTTTAGCACATTCTTCAGCTAGGGAACAGTCTAGACAGCATGAACCCCTTCCACCACCCCCACGATGGACCTTCTAACGCCTCTCCCTGTCTCTTTCATCTCCAGTCTTCTACCGACAGAGCAGGAATAAACTTCCCAGGCTAAGTTAGATGGATGGTTTCCCATAGCCTGGGGGGCTGCCCCCCCTCCTTCCCCACCAGCTCCTCCCTGTAAAGGGAGGTTCCTGTGTATGTGGGAGAGATAGGGGAGCACAAGCATTTGGGTAGGTGTTGGGGGGGTCCCCTGCTCCAAGACCAGGCATGGTGCCCCCAGGAAAGAAGCCAGCTGGAGAGGCCTCCAACTCCAACAAGAAATGCAAACGTTACTTCAATGAGCACTGGAAGAAAGAGTTCCCTTGGCTGGACTTTGACTATGAGCAGAAGCTGATGTTCTGTCTGGAGTGCCGCCAGGCCCTGGTACGGAACAAGCATGGCAAAGCAGAGAATGCCTTCACCGTGGGCACTGACAACTTCCAGCGCCATGCCTTGCTGCGCCACGTCACCTCGGGAGCCCACCGCCAGGCCCTGGCTGTCAACCAGGGTCAGCCCACTTTTGAGGTCCCAGCTGAGGATGGAGGGGCCTACTCCAGTTTGGCCACCGCCCCCACCTCCAGGAACGTCAAGGCGGAAGTCGATCCAGCCAAAGTGGCTGTGCTGACAACTGTGTACTGCATGGCCAAAGAGGATGTGCCCAACAACCGCTGCTTGTCCCTGCTGGAGCTGCAGAGATTCAACCTGTGCCAGGCACTGCTGGGCACAGAGCATGGCGATTACTACAGCCCCAAGAGGGTGAGGGACATGCAGGTGGGTGGCAGCCAGAGTTGGGGAGGGGTTGGAGGAGGGAAGCGTTGAACCCACCTGGGAATAGCTCAAGCATGCCAGGCCCTTGACCATCAGCCAGAACACTTCATTTATGCCTCCACCTTTCAAAACCATCACTGAGGGCCTACTGTGTGTTGGATGCTGGGCAAACTATAGGGGGATGAAACAGTGCCATTGGACACACACTGTGGCTCTTATTATTTCTTAGGTCATAGGCCACACACTGGTAACCTCTAAGCTTGGTTGGCCCCCAGTTGGGTTTTACTTGTGTTCACTATATTTTGTAAAAAGTCAAATGAATCTGTAACTTCAAAAAAAATTCAGGAGGGGCTGGGAAAGTGGCTCAATGGTAGAGCGCTTGCCTCGCATGCATGAGGCCCTGGGTTCAATTCCTCAGCACCACATAAGCAGAAAAAAGCCGGAAGTGGCGCTGTGGCTCAAGTGGTAGAGC